TTTTTATGGGCTAAGTACGTAGTAATTCTTTTTTAAAAGTAATGAGAGGCGATGAGACTCGAACTCAAAACTCCTGCCTACTCTAAGACCATGTGAAGTATATAATTATTTCATCTAAAAACTTAAATTATTAGAAGAACAAACTTTTATGTACTTAATTATATCTTCAATGCATATTGATAGCACAAGCTAGCAAGAGAAAGACTGCTAGGATCAAAGTTCATCTTGATTTCACGAACCCCTTAAACTACATGATTTAATTTAGACGTGTATTGCGTGACAACTTATAGGTCATGGGTTCGAGTCGTGAAATCAGCCAATGATACTTGTATTAGGGTAGGTTGCCTACATCACATCCCGTTGGGGGTGCAGTCCTTGCCCATACTCTGCGCGAACACGAAATACTTCGTTCATAGGCCGGCCTATTGCGTGGCAACCTAATCCTTAAAGCAGTACGTACAATGATGCTAACGCGAAAAACTCCTCATGGGCAAGAAAAACTCTGACACAAATGATTAGTCGTGCTAGTAAATTCCAAATGCCTAATTCGAGGAAAAAAGAAAAGAAAAAAGTGGGTGAGATGGGCTTAGTGTTGTCAAGCTGACTTATCTGTTTCATTTTCCTCTATCATCAGAAACCAGAAGTGAACTAACCCATTGCAAGAAATTAAAAAACAATCTTCCACATAATTACCAAAGGTAGAATACACCCAACGTAAGCTAACATTGCAGCTTCTCAATGTTCTCTCAGCTATATATGACAAATGACTAATCAAGCTTTCAGTTAAACAGTTATATATGAATGAAAGGGAGCACTTGGTCCTTAAACAGTTCTTTCGAAAAAGATTGATTCAATTGTCTTATCAGGGCAATTCATTGTGAGACTGTGAATTTACAATAGGCAGAAATGTTAATGACTCCCTTAAACGTGGCAACTTTTATTAAGTTTTTCCTTAAACTTCACGTGGTCTTTAATACCCCTGAACTTGAAGATTCGATAGTCTTGACCCCCTTAGATGCTGATATGACAAAGAACGTGAATACACTCTCTTTTAGGCGCGTGGGGAAGAAAAATAGAAAAATCAGCTTTCAAGAGAGGTATTTTTCAAATATTAATTGCCACATAATCAAATATAACAATTTATTTATTCCAATTGTATTTCTCGTTGTTTCTCCTTAATATATATTGTATATTTTATCTCGATTAATTTTTAGATACAATGAATATATGTTTCAACTATGTATTTTTTATCTTTTTTTTCCAGTCCAAATCTATAAAAGTTAGTTGAAACTCCATTTATTTTAACCAAATAAAAAGAAGATTTAGCCAAAGTAATGAAGTTCAAATGGCATATTTTTTACAAAAAGAATATATTTATTTTCATGCAACTATTTATTTAAACTACACATTTTTCTTTTACAAGTCAAATTCGTAAATATTTGTCGAAATTTACTATTTTTTTAAAATAGATTTTAGCATGAAAAAAATAATTTAAATAGTTGGTGGAATTAAAAAGATAAAATATATATTTTATTATAAAATAGATGCCACATAGACAAAAAAATCCATGTGGCAGCGCGTGTGTCACTCTCATGAATTATCAGCGTCTAGGGGGGTCACGATTATGAAATTGCCAAGTTTAGGGGGATGTTAAAGACCACATAAAATTTAAGGGGTAATTAAACAAAAGTTAAGATCGTAGTTCTCGAACGGGCAATCGAAAAGAATAATTAGAGATGTCGCAAGCAAAGATCATATAGCCTAATTGACTGCAAGTTGAATGAGCTATGACCCTCTTTAGATTATTCTGTAATATTCCAGTGGTTGCCGCAAGGAATGACGTCATAGCTCCTGCAAAAGTCGTGACATCCAAGTTTAATTTTAGAAATAAAAGATTGAGCAACTGCTGAAGATGGAGCTGCAGAGGGTAGTTCCGGTAAGAGAGAGAAAGTTTGATTGATAAGGGTATTCTGTGAATTGAACAAAAGAGAGTCTGAATGGGTATACTTAGTCGTGGAGCATTCAGAGTATTTGCTTTAGGGATCGTTCCTGCGCATCTCCTTACTTTATAGCAGTTATTGCTCCGGTTCTAGAAGGTATAGCTCTCGCCTCAGCTTTTTCTTTGAAATCGGAGACTATTTACTTTAAGTCACTTGCCAGGAGGGAAAGCAGCAGATAAAGAGCACTATCACCTTACTTAATAAAGGGCTTATGCGAAAGAGAGCGTCGCTTCCCCGAGAAGATAATCCGCTTTCCTAAAATCCCTTGCCCTTTTTTACTACTTTGACTAGCGCCCGGCAAATGAATAATTTTTTCCCAAAGCCGACTTCCTTTATCGAGCGACTCTCTCTGTTGACGATAAAAGCGATGGTTCGGGTTATCTGAAATAAGCGGTAATTTTTCTCAGTCCTAATCCTAATAAATACCACGTGAAGCGCGTGATCACCCAGAACTCTTCTTAACCACTTAACTGACTAGTTTCGCACAAACTCATTTGGAATCTTTGGAAATCGATCCGACCAGTCCCGATAAGTCGTAAATGACGGCTCGAACCTAGTGCCTTTCAACGAACTGAAAGGCCTCTCTTCAACTCCCTCTGAGGTTTGAACTGCCTACCAACTCTTTCAACTGCAAGTTATCCAAAGAATGAATGACTTCTGCTCATCCAAACTGGGATTTTAAGCAAAAGTTAGGTCTTCCGGTACGCTTTCCCGAAGGTGTAAAAGACTTTTTCAAGTTTGAGAGATTGGTCTGGAAGGATCCAAAACGTGATTAAGGCGTATGAGGCCTATACTGGTGAGGTATGCGGCCCTAACAAGGATTATGAAATGCATTTCTTGAGGAAGGTGGAAAGAATTGATTCTCTCTCATGAGGAGTTCCAGCACCTTTAAGAGGTATACATGCAGCAACCTCCTCGATTTGTTGATCCTTCTAAGCCTACTCATCTTTGTGGCTACACTATTCTGCCTTTACAATACTAATTGAGTCCCACAAAAGATTCAGGTGTGTGGCTCCACACCCTTAAAAACAAACTACTCCAAATTGTACAAAAACCAGAATCTGCACTAACTCGCAAGCGATGAGACAGGTCAAGATCATATATCATGATACTATTGTATTACCAAGCATCGATCGTTCACGTGAAAACATGAAATACCACTGCAATCAAAAGTTAGACCAAAATGAATAAACACAACTGCTTTAGAGTATTAGCTCAATAATTTTATGCCACCACTCTGCTTTCTGCAAAATCTCTCCAGGCCGGACTTGGATATATGAACCATACTTGATCTGATATGGAAAAATGCTAACCAGAAGGAACATTCCTAGAATACTAGTTATGCATCTTTCCTCTTTATACTTTCACTTGTTTAAATATAGACAAAAGATTAGCGCTCTAGAATGATAGATATGAAATTCGTACAAGCCTTCTTTTCGCCCAAATATTTAACAGCATTTATTACTATATAAAAAAACATGTTTATCAAAATCCCTATAAAGGTTATGTCACAACGAAAACATTTGATGAATAAAATAAATACCAATTATTTTAACTTTGCACTGATATAATAGTAATTATAAAAGAAAAGAAGAGAAAAAACAAGGGGTGTCCGAATTGAGGAAATAGCACAAATAGCCATTTTAGGACCGCTAATTAAAGAATACCCGAAATTTACAAAATATTCAAATTTTAATCACTTCAGAATCAAACCCAGAGTTCAAGAGCGAATTTTCAATTTCGCGTCCTAAATCTGAACTGAACTGTCACAGCCTATGAATGACAGTTCGAACTTCAAGACCTTCGGGTCTAAAGTTAGGCTTGGCCCTTCACAACTTCAGTTCTTGAGGCTGAATTTTGAAACATCATTAAATTGAAATGCCAGAACAGACTACTAAAAAGAATAGCATCTACAGCATTATTAACCTCATCAATTCTAAATGAGAGGAAAGCTACTTGGAAACTGTTTTGCTTGTGTAAAAACCTTCCCATTTATATGAATTTAATGTGATAATTTGTCCAATCAAACCTCAAACAAATTCTAAGTGCGCTGTATTTATAGAAGCTCTCAGTTTTTATCCAGCTATCTTTCACCTGATGTCTTTCAAAGTGTTTGCTACAATCCAAGTGAGTCTTATTCTACCTAATTACAATTAGAAATCAACACAGCTTCAGTAATGTTCTAAAGTTGCTACTAAACCAACAACTCACAAGATATGAACATCTGAAGTTGCTACTAAGAATTCACATTAATACGATATGAACATCAGTAATTGTTCTAGAACATATATGCATGGTTTGGGAAGTCTTACAGTACCCTGTACTGTTACATTTTGCTAGAACACCAAGATATATGTTGCACTTTGCAGAGAACGAATAGGTTGGGATGTAGGTTTCTAGAGGAACTGCACCTATTGGGAATTGGAGACGATGTCTCAGTTACTGTAACAGTTGAAAAACTTGCCTTACCCAACAGAGGAACCAGACTCTTTAGCATGGCCGTTACATGGAGATGGGACATTCAAGATAAATCGTGCTACAGTGATATGTCATCTAAATCAGCTTCTTCTCTTTTCTGGTTCTAAGAAAAAAGTTCAGTCAGAACCTCACTGATGGACCTTACATTCATGAGGCAGACGACTCCAATTTTTCAAGAAAAATATAACTGATACTACCCAGGTCGCTTCATAATCCTAGATGTTCTTAAAAGTTCACAAGTTGTCAACACTGGCAATATTCAGAGGAGAAAGAGAACAGGAAGTGGTGAAACTGCAATATCAGCATAATATCAGTATTCTAAGAAAACTTAATGTCATAATTTTGAGACACTCGGTAAAGTGATTACTTAACGTAACATCATTTAGATAATAGAAATAGAAATAGAAAGCATTTCCAAACAAGAAGGCCACTCATGGTTCATAAGTCTTCCATGTATATTTTTTTGATAAAGTAATATAAATTTCATTAAAACAAGGGCAAAATATGCCCGTATACAAGAAGTATACCAAAAATAAGTCTTCCATGTATATAAGAATGTCAACATGAAGTTATTCATATTCTAAGTACAAGCCTATCAAATTAGATGCCCCAATAGGCACATAATGCACCTCTTGTTCTTTCTCTTTCCCCCATTCTGACAAGCTATAGCATAGCTTTACTAAGGAGCACATAGCAGATCCATTTAAAAGTAGACGTTACTACAAGAGACAAAGTATGTTATCTAGTGTTGAATCCATCATTTATATAAGTTCAGACTATGTCTCATGTTTTGGAGGTGTTTGTATGAAAAAACTAGTAGTTATTTAGAACATTGAATTTTATTTAGAGAGCATTCATGGTAATACCCTTGGTGCTTTGGCCCCCTATACTGAACCACAGAGAGGGAGTCCCTATCCAGCTCTTGGTTCTCAACCATTAAGCTTTGGCATCATGCTGCACCCCGAAGTCCAAGTATTTCCTCGCTCATCTCCTTCGTCTGAGATTCAGCAGTTATCATCAACTAAACATTGCATTTTATGCTAATAATGTACTTTATTCTATCATCTCTTGGCTACTCTTAAAAACATTACGTGGTTCATATAAAATAGAACGGAAAATCCAAAGGTAAAATACCAATAACATCACCAACAAACGTCTCAACATATGCTGCCCTCTAGAGACTGCATGCTATCCCAAGTCTCAATGTCACTAGACTAAAAAAGTAATATCAAACAAGCGCTCCTCAACCATGCCCCAAGAACAATAAAATCCAGTTTCCTCATAAATAGTAGCAAGCTGGTCATCGAACCAAAATCAATCTGAGGTTCACCATGAAATAAATTCATGCTAAACAGAGGCAAAGACAACATAGTGCCTCCTCTCCCCCTGGCTAAGCACCCTGTCCATCTACCCCCTACAGAGCTAAAATAGAAAGAACGCTAAAGCTAGCGCTCTCTATTTCTCTCTATGATACACACATACATACCCCTCCTTTCCAGCCAATTTATCCACAACTAAAGACAAACTTAAAACTATTATGAAAATGGATCATGCAAATGGTCATAAAGACAAAACTTATCTATTTGCAAACACATATGCAGAAAGCTAGAGCTACCATGAACATAATCTTCCATGAAAGGTCAGTGTTCACATAACGTTTCTCCCTTACCTAAGGATCAGGTTAAACATCTCACATTTTACCTCCTCCTCCGGTGGCATGTATATCATAGATGCCAGTATTTCAACAGAATAGAAGAGCATGTGAAGCAAAGTCCAACAAATAGATGGCCCACGGGCAAAATTAAGGTCAACACCAATTTTCAAGCGTGAAAATCAACAAATAGGCAAATCTATTACATAAATTTTAACCTTTAATCCGCCAACTTACAGATAACATGAATAAAAATGTAGTAACAAACAAGTAAAGGAATTGAATACAGATCTAAAAATTGGAAATTACAGATCCAATCTAGATCTATAATCTAGATACAAAATTTCTAAGTATTCCCTGCAAAATCCAACGCACGAACTAGTTTTTCTACCAAAGAAATATTACAGTTCAATTAAATTGAATAACTGATTCACATCAAATTTAGAAGCTCCACAAACCAACCTCATAATCGTGTCACCAAACGTGATCCGACTAGACACGAGCAGCAACAGCCGGAGCAGCGGCAGCCGCGGCAGAGGAGGCAGCACCGCCGAGGAACGAAAGGAATCCAACGTTGCCCGGCTCTTGATCATCAAGGAACAAATCCTCCGGAACCCTAAAAGCTCCATGAGCACAAACAATAGCCAGTCCAACAAGGAGTGCAGATATGAGCAGCGATCCAACACTGGTGAGGAACACCACAACAATAGTGGACACTACTAAGATCCCCAGCGTTTCTCGGTCAGAGAAAGTGCGGCCAAGGATAACAACAGGCTGATCTGAGGGTCTAAACAGGTACAGGAAAAACCAGCCACCGAGGAGAGCGAGGAGGACGAGGAGAGAGAAAGGATGAGAGAGAAGGGAAAGAGCGAGTACGCCTGCGAGTAAGGAAATATAATTCACGCGGAAGTAGGAGAAGTTCTTGCGGACACGCGAGGCAGCCTCAGCGACGGAGTCAGGGCGGGCGAAGGATGTGCGATCGAGAAGTTCATACCAAGGGCGGCGTTGAGCGAAACCCTGACGGATCGAAGATGAGAGGCGGGAGATGAAGGAGCGAAATGCGGGAGTGGCAATAGGGGGCTGAGATTGGGCACCGGAAGCCGCCGTTGATTGAGGACTTGAGATCGGAAGTGTCGCCGGAGAAGCCATTGGTTATTCTTCTCCCTTCTCTCGTTTGTTTGGTTTGATTTGATTTGATTGGGAAGGGTGCAGAGAGAGGGAGAGTGCAATGGGGAAATTTTGGACAAGAATAATAATAGGTAACGCTTCCAAGGGCTTCGGCTTTCTTTTTTTTTATATATTCACCTATTTATTCTCGTTTTGTATAGCTGAATTTATCATTTTATCTGGATACCATTTTTAGAAACATTAAATTAATGATTAAAATTTTAATTATTGAAAAATTAGTTTTATCAAGAAAATGTTACATTTAAATTAAATTTAAGTTCATAAATTCAACTTTTTGAAATTTTGAAAGTTATGTAGAATTAATGGTGTATGGTGTCCAGGAGTAATAAATGTTCTTATTTCCCATTGCTAGGAAATTAGGGAAGGGAAAGGAAAAGTAAAAAAGTGAGAAGATATTCACTTCCTTCTTTCTATTACAAAACCACGCAAGGAAGAGGGGGGAAAAATTCCATTTTGCTTTTTTTCCCAGAGTTTCCAAGCATATATATATATAGGGAAATCTATAGAACTGACCTTATTGTTATTCTTCAGAAAAGAAACAACAACACAACAACAACAGTATAATACCACTAATAGAATCTGGAAAGGGTAGTATGTACGCAAACCTTACCCTTACCCTAGGGTAGAGAGGCTGTTTCCGATAGACCCTCGGCTCCCTCCCTACAAGAGACTCCCCACCTTGCTCTTGGGATGATTCGAACTCACAAACTTTTGGTTAGAAGTGGATGGTGCTCACAACTAGATCAATCCCATTTTCTTCGGAAAAGAAAATGTACGAAAATTACTTTTTGCTGTAAAGAAAACCTCTAGTGTTCTATTTTATAATCCATAGCTTGTTAATTGTTTGGCGTAAGTTGACCAATCAACTGATAATTCTTTTTCCTGTGATTCTATGAAGCTTTTCAATGTCGAAGCTAAAGTTTTCCTCTATAAGCTACAGCCTGACCCAGTATCTTTTGGGCTCAACATTGTATATATATTAAAAAATTATTAAAATATAATTATTAATCGAACCAATAACTCAAATAATTAATGAATTTAGTGGTATTTCGAACTCATAAAGTTAAAATATAGCAATGTTTTGCTTTAAGACGACACCAGCATAAGACTGGATTATTGAAGCCCATCTTTAAAGAACTTTTTTCCGGTCGGAGAGACTATAAAGGATAAAGGTAAAATTCTAACTACAGTATGCAATCTCAACCTTAATCTAAAAGTTAATCTCACCCTTCCAACAATGGTTGGCTAAAAAAGCTTAATCACTCAAAATAGGCATTTGTATTAAACCAAGCGATATAAGTTAAAAAATCACAAATTAAAATGAGAATAATGTCATTTAATCATTGATTATGTGAGAAAATTTTGTATAAATACATGTCTAACCTGCAATAGTGCTGTTGTGTTTGGAAAGAAGATAATAAAAAGAAAACCTTGTGCTGTTGTGCCTCCTCACATTGAAAAAACAGTAAAAATCTAAAGATTCTAAAAGAGATTATGATTTAATTTAATTTGTTGTAATTATATTTTTCTTTAGCCGATGGTCTATCGGAAACAGTCTTTCTGTCTTCATAAGGTAGGGGCAAGACTACGTACATACTACCCTCCCAGATCTCAAGTGTGATCCTGGGATCACACTAGGTTTGTTATTGTTGGTAGTAACGGTCGGGTTAGATCGGATATGAGCGGATCGAAAACGGGTAATGTAAAAATGGATAAATTATCTGACCCGACTCTTATTTAATACGGATAAAAAAATGATGAACCGACGAAAAATATGGATATCCATGGCTTCTTGAATACGATCACTTTTGGGAGAATTCCTAATTTTCTAAACTTGAGGAACCCCCAATTTGAGTCTTCACAAATATAAAAGTTAAACTCATTAATTATCTATTTTCTAAGTGGATAATATGGTTTTTATCCATATTTGACCCGTTTTTATAAAGTTCATTATTCAACCCTCTTTTTAATTGACTAGTTACTTGGCACGTGTGTTGCACGTGTATGCTGGGTCAAGTGGTATTACGGTTCATAAAATAAAATGTTAATATTCGTAAAATAAGGTTTTTTAAGTAAAATAATTATACATATTAAAATAAAGTATAAAATTACCTATAAAGATAAACAATCAAATTTTAATTAAACATAAGAGACCGAAAGTTTGTTACAAACAAACACCAAACTTTGCCCATTGACCATTAACTTAAAGCCACACCATAATTCCATTACTGTTATAAATATATTTTATTATGGATGTTCATTTAGTACTCTGTTGTAAATAAGCTTCCTGAAGAAGCTTATCCATATGAGACTCAGCCGTAAATATATTTATCTATTTAGTACTTTATTGGAAATAAGCCTCGTGAAGAAGTTTATCCTTTCGGTACTCCATTATGGATAAATATTACACATGGTAGAAGATTATCTATATCTGGTATAGTAGCAGCTTACACAGCAGCTTAGAGTAACAGCTTACACACCAGCTGTAACACCCCGAAAAATTTCGAAGTACTTAAGTGTAAATCCCGGTAAAGTTTGCAAAGGAAATAATGTTTCATGGTGTCGGAATAGGCTTATGTGTTTGAGGGTTGAACAATGCACCGGAAAGTAAAAGAAATTTTTGGCGAAAAAGTGCATTTCTGCGGTCTATTATACGACCGCAGAACCACTCTGCGGACCACATAATGGCCGCAGAGTGAGGCAGTTGATTGGGTTAGTTGGAAGCAACTATGCGGTCGACTATGCGACCGCATAGTGACCGTATACACATGCAGTTCTTTTGGCTATTTTGTAACCAAATATGCGACCGATATGCGGTCCGCATATCGGTTATGCGATCGCATACCTTGTTCCGGAGCTCCATTTTTGAGGTTTTAAAACCCGGCCCTATTTCGTTAAATACACTCTTTGGGTCATTTTTGAGACATAATCTGATATTTTAGAGTAAGAGAGGATGCCCTAGAGTGAGAAGGTGATTCTTCAATAAATTTTCTTCAATTCTTGCTCAAGTTTTGGAAGATTAAGAAGGGAAGCTCACTAGGTCTTCATCCTAGAGGTAAGATTCTACACCCTAAACCCTAATTTCGAAATCTTCTAAAAATGGGTAACTAGCAAGATAATTTTTGGGCATGAGAGTTGTTTATTTTACATGCATGTGTTATCAAAGGGTGTAGGAAGATTGTTGAGCTAAAAATAGTAAAGATTTGGTTGTGGGATGATGGAATCCTTCATAAAAAGGACATTGAAACCTTATGCATACCTAGTATTTGATAAAATGCTCAAGTGAGCTAGAACCATGATCATCTTCCAAATTTTGATTCAATTTGTTATATTTCTACAATAGATTGAAGTTGTTAAGAATTTCGGAATGTTTTAGAGTTTAAGGAAGCTCGATTGAGGTATGTTGGCTAAACTCTTCTCTTAGAATTGAATCCCACGATATTCATGTAAATTATGTAAGTCCCGAGTGATTCATTATGAAATTGGCTATTCCGAGTAAGATTGGGTCGAATAATATATGTTCAACAAGCATCACAAATGCTCTATTCATGTTATGTTACCAATTGAGAATGTGTTAAAATATGGGCTGGGCATTAATAATGTTTCGACTTTAAGTCAAGTTCAAATGAAGGCTATTATACCAAATTTTGTGAAATATCTCTATGTGCCTTAGACTCTAAATTGCTCACACGTGTTTTACACACCTTGATTTGAATTGTATTTATTGTTGATGATGATAAAATTGATAAGGTGAGCATGAAATACTGAATATGGCCAATGTACCAAGAATGATCTTATAATTATGGCCATTAGTGCCAATGGAATGAAAAGATGTGAAAGTAATACGAAATGCGATGATTGATATAAAATGGTTGATGTCTCAAATAAGACGGCCTAGCCGATTGGGTCGTGATCGGATACTATGCCGCACACATGGTGGTGATTGTGCTGAAAATTGTAATTGAAATTGTGATTGTGATCGATGTCCCTAATGGATAGCCTAGCCGATCGGGTCGTGATCGGACTCCGTGTTAAAGACGGTGGTATTGATATTGAGAGAAATTGTGGTTGATGTTTCTACTGAGATAGCCTAGCCGACCGGGTCGTGATCGGACTCCGTGCTAAGAGTGCGGTGGTACTGGTTTTGTGAATAATGGTATTGTTAATAGTGGTATTGGTATGGTGAATAATGGTACCGGTATTGTGGACAATGGTATATCGATACTAAAAATCTCCCAATGTGAGATATGAAAATTAATTTGAATACTGTCTTGATCTTAATTTGAGGTTTGATGTTAATTAAGGCTTTCATTGATATTATGATAATCTTATTTATATTATTTGTCATTCTATTGAGAGGGTGTTTAGTTATACATACTAGTGCTATTCGACAGTACTAACGTCCCTTTTGCCGGGGGCGCTGCATCTTTCTATGGATACAGGTGGTTCCACAGCAGGAGATATTGATCAGTGATAGCAGTACACCTTCTTCCCAGCTGACTTGGTGAGCTCCATTTCATTCTGGGGTCATGAATCTTTTGTATTTTGTGTATTCTGTTTGAGGTATAGCCGGAGCCTTGTTACCGGCATTATCATTGTACTCTTCTTTATCTATAGAGGCTCCGTAGACATAGTGTGAGTTGTGTATTGGTGCTGGGGAAAGACAAACCATGTTATGTTGTGGTTGTATTACTTGTCCATTTGAGACTTTAAAAATGATAAAACTATTGGAAATGAATTGGTATTGTAGACATGAACACATTTTCGTTTAATTAATAAAAATATGTATTATCTCTATTCGTGGATGAGTTTGGGTAGAAGGAATCTAACAGGCTTGCTCAGTCGGGTTCACTCGGTTGAGCGCTGGTCGCGCTCCTCGGTTTTGGGGGCGTGACACCAGCTTACAAGCAGCTTACACACCAGATTACAAGCAGCTTACAAGCAGCTTACACACCAGCTTGTAGTAGCAGCTTACATAGCAGCTTCCTTTCCTCTATAAATAAAGGAGAATTCAGTTCATTATGTACATAAGTTTGAAGTTTGAATAATATATCAGTTTCTCTCTATACTTGTCTTTACTTTACAGTCTTTATTTTAT